TCCAGTATTACCCTTTTTTTTGTGTTCTATATTTTATTTGAAATGAAAACAAAATCAAGGAGGGTTGTAATTGAAAAAGGATGTGCTAAGATTTCTTTATTTTATCTTTATGCACAATCAATAATGTGTATTGCTAGTCTTCAACAGAGGAAGTCTTGTACACTTATCCTCTCTTTATATTTGTTATCAGGATCCTTTTCCCACCCACTTGCCCCCCCACGATGTAACAAATTATAAAATTCACATACACAACCAATGATTTTACAGAACATCTAAAGCTAACAAAAACTGAATTTTAGTGCTGCTTTATATTTATATATGAAACGGCTGTAAATATTGTCACTTGATTGAATTTTGTTGAAGTAATTTATCTCAGTTTGCACACATAAATAGTTAAATTACACATGTTTAGATTTTAACCTCTGCTTTACACCGATCCTTACTATTATTCTCAAGTGCCTGTTGATGCCTTCTGTTAATCATCTAAAACTTCAGCAAAGACATTTTTTTGTTTATTTTTAATTGGTCATTTTCCTGCTATAGGTTGTTGACGGAAAACTCTCACAGACCTGTTATCTCATGGCACTCGATTCCTGTTATCAGATTTTCTGCAAGAAGTAAGCATGGACTCAACCAAAATGGCCATTTTGAATTTTTCCTTTTTGTTTCAAATTCTCATTAAATGTTCTTCCATATACAGATTTGAAAAATTGGAGGGGAGGCCTTTTTCAATATCAGATTCTGATTATTTTGTGTTTCATTCTCCATATAACAAGGTAATTGTCATGCAGGAATTTTTTCACCATATATGGAATGAACACGAAAAGGCAGGGAAGTATGTCATAACACGACCTACAATGACTCTCTAGATAATTGCTTTCTTGATGTATTGCAGCTTGTGCAGAAGAGTTTTGGCAGGCTATACTTCAATGATTTCATGAGAAATCCCAGGTCTGTGTGGATGTTCTGCTTTATTCGATGCTTTTTCAATTCAAGGGGCCAAGCTATAGAATATCATTGACCCTTTTGACAGGATAACTATTACTTTTACCTTTTGGATATTTGCTGTTTGCAATAAGCCAGAACTTGCAGCTGTACACTTGATATTTCAATTAAATGTACTGGAAAGAAAAGAAAACATTTCTGAACCATGAAGATGCACATTAAGATTAGATCATATTCTGTAAATTGTTTTTGGATCAAGCACTGACAACTCCTGAAAAGCTGAAGTATATGAAACATAAAAATACTCAGACAGATTTAAATTAATGTCCTTGAATCCTAATTTTTTTTGTCCTCTGATATGTTATTTGCTGCCAGTTTTGTTGATGAAGCTGCCAGGGAAAGCCTGGCACCTTATGCTTCCTTATCTAGTGATGAGAGTTATCAAAGTCGTGATCTTGAAAAGGTAGCTACTCTTGTCGTGTTTGAATTTTGAAATTTGAATCATGTTCTATTGACTAAAATGATTGCTTGAAATGAAACTCTTAAATGGTTTATGATCATTCAATAGGCAAACCAGCAAGCTGCAAGACATGTATATAATGCAAAGGTGCAGCCCAGCACACTAATCCCAAAGCAAGTTGGAAACATGTACACTGCATCTCTTTATGCAGCATTTGCATCTCTTCTTCATAATAAGAACACTTCGTTGGTAAGGTTTTCCTTACTTACATTCATCTTTCTCATGGACAGTGGCTGATTCTATATTTCTCATCAGGATTGTCTTTCAATGTGCAGGTGGGTAATCGGGTAGTGATGTTTTCATACGGAAGTGGTTTAACAGCTACAATGTTCTCCTTCCACCTTCAAGAAGGTCAGCATCCGTTTAACTTGTCAAACATTGTAACCGTGATGAATGTTTCGGACAAGTTGAAGCAGAGACTTGAGGTATGCAGTTTTCTATGACTTAAAAAGCTATGGTTTATGTAACTACATTTGGGTTTTATCATCTAGGAAATTTCGTATATAAGTAGGTTGACATCTTCAATGAACCTTATGAAGTTAAGGTCCATGAATGCTGTTGTGACAAGTTTTATTTGAAGTAAAAATTCAACAATACAATACTTCCAATTATATCAAAATTAAATTTTTTATATCTCCTTTAACAAAATAATGTTGTGTTTGCAGATTCCTCCTGAAAAGTTTGTTGAAACATTAAAGATTATGGAGCAGCGTTATGGGGGTAAGGACTTTGTGACAAGCAAGGATTGTAGCTACTTGCCTCCAGGCACCTTCTATCTCACCAATGTTGATTCCATGTACAGGAGACACTATGCCAAGAAGGACAAGGTCATTGGTTAGTTGATATATTCAAATTTAGAGCTTAAATGTATTTTGTTGTGCTTCATCTCTATTTGATCTCTCAAAGTTATTTATCAAATTGTTTATAATATGATGTGCAAAATCAGAGTAAGTTTATGTGCAAACTGTTAATTATTTTAAATGAACTAATAATGGAAATGTGTTAGAACTTTCTTATGAGTGCAGAAATCTACAATGACCATGTTAAGAATTTTCCTTTTTTACAAGGGTCTGTTTGGATGCAAGTAGAAAAAAGCTTTCAAGAGTTTTTTCTATTGGAAATATACAGTTTTCGTTTTTAGAAAATCTTATTCCAAATACTATCTGATACTGTTAAATATAAATACTTGAAAAATTGAATATCAATTTGTCATATTAAAAAGATTCACTCTTATGAATATCAACCTCCATTAATTCACATTTCATTAATTAATGACCAAAAAGAATATCCAAAATCATATTTAAGAACTAAAACCACTTTTTTCCATTATTCTCTCCAACAACTAAACCTACAAGAAGAAAGAAATATAACGTAATATAATATCCGTTTTGATATTAATTTTGTTGTTTTTATTTTAATCCTCTCATTATTATATTTTTTATCCCTACAATTTTTCAATTTTGTATTTTAATCTCTACTTTTTCTCATTAGATTCGATGGACAAATTACTCTCTATAATATTGAATATGATTTAATAACAATGAAAACAAAAAAGTTAAATAAGAGCGAAAAAAAAAAAACAGAACACCCTATAATATGGGACTAAAATCCTCAAGTTTTACATATTATAAATATAAATAAATATTTTAAATGAAATTAAAAATGAATCTATCGGTAGAACGCATTTATTAAGATTTTTATGTGGGTGAATGAGGAATAAAAGAAATACAAAAAAAAGTTGTTGATTAAAACAAATGAAAAAAAAAATTGTATTGTCTTTTTATAAAATCATATTTATATTTCGTAAGAGACAATATTGTTCTAGTTCAAGAGACATAGTCTTTCTTTTCTTTAAATATTCAATGCAATTGTATATTAAAGACTAGCATTTGAGAAAATTCATTAATCTAAAATAATTGTCTCAGTTCATGTATATGCTGGTAATTTTCTCAATTATATGTTTTTTTATTTAATGATTCTCAAGTGTATTAATTTTAATTGTGAGTTATTAACCAAAATTAAAATTTAGTATTTAAGTTTTACAATAGAGTCATCATTGTCGCCAGAAGTTTATCGACAGGGCAATATGACTTTGTAAGATACATGGAGTAAAATAACAGTAATTTGTCATAACTTAGAAGTAAGAAAAGGTAAAAGAAATAATTTTCTAATTTTTTAGTTATTTTTTCTTAAAAAAATTCATTGTAAAAAAAATTAAATAAAATATTAGTATTAATTTTTAATAAAAATAGTTTAGGAATAATATTAAATATATTATTATATATTCTGTAGTTGAATTGTTTAAAATTTTGTTTATATAAGTATTTTTTTTAATTTTAAATAACTTCTTTTATTTTTAAGTAATTTAAACGTTGAATTTACCATAAAATATTTTTTTTATTTTTAAGTAACTCTTGATAATTAATTTTTGAAATACTCTAATATATATATATATATATATTTATAAATTAGGTACATATTTGGATAAATTTATTTAAAAAGTTAAAGAAAAAAAAGTAATTTTATTTATGCCTTTTAAGAAAATCAAAATGCATATGCGATGAAAGAGGGATTAACCTTTTGGATTTTAGGAATTTTAGATTTTGGATTCCTTATTCATTAACCTTTTTTATTGTCAATTTTTTACTATAATACCAATTAAATCTAACATTCATATTTTATTTAAAATTACGTTTCTTTAGCGTAAACAAACACATGTAATTTTCTGTTTATATAATAATCATTCGTTTTCTTAAAAAACATATCTATTGTTAATTTATTGTTTGTTTCTCAACATAATTAACAACAAATAAGCATTTATGAGTTTAGTTAATGTTATTAATTACCCTATCATTAGATAAAAGGAACATCATAGGAAAATTATTGGTGAAGAACATAATCTCTCATCACCAACTTCACAACTACTTAACTAAACTAACGTGATAGGTATAAGGCAACAGAAATATACAGTATAATATACTATACCTCTACTTAACTAATAAACTAACGTGATACAGTATAAGGCAACATAATTTTTTATTATTTAAAAATAAATTTAAAGTTACATAATTTGAAAAAATAGTAAAACAAAAAGAAGCAAGTACGCATCGATCTTTTTAGGTGTAAACTAAACATTTGAGTATGTAAAGCATGACAACTATGATTTGTTTTATTGAATGTTACACACTCCCTAAAAGTTAAGAACATGCAACAAGAATAACGCAAAATTTGTGTTAATTACTTCTTAACAACAATTATGTTGTTGAATTTTGCGTGTGTAGGTGGATGAATATACTTGATCTTAAAGCAGAACAAAAGTGAAGTCAAAATTTGGCACTTCCAGACTAATCTACGAACATTGAGTGGCTTTCAAGTACAATAATTATGCATTAAACTTGCTTTTTAATTTGTTAGTGTCAACAACTTTCTGTTCTATATATATACACTATACACGTTCTCATGGTTTTCATCAAATCTACATCACTTTCCCAGTTATTGAATTCCATAGTCATTCATTTGTTTCACTTCCAACCAAATGGCTCTTTTGCCATACTCAAAATGCATTTTTCTTTTTGCAATCATTTTTTTTGTCTTCTTGACATTATCATCAATCACTCAAGCAGAGCTTGATGCTCACTACTATGATCAAACATGTCCACAAGCAGAGAAGATCATTTCAGACACTGTTCTCAGTGCATCCACATTTGACCCTAAAGTCCCAGCTCGGATACTGAGGATGTTCTTCCATGACTGTTTCATAAGGGTAAGAAAAAACATTTCATGTCTATTTATGTTCAAAATTAATGTAAGTGTAACACATTATTATATTTGGACTAAAATACCTTTTTTGCTTTCAAAAATTTATTTTTTCAGGGAGCACATTGGATTTGTAAAATAACAATAATTTTGAAAATGAAAAGAATATTCAATATCAATAGATATAAAAGAAAGCAACTGTATGATGTCTCTATCTCTCACTAAACCACATGGAATGGAACCTGTTTAATGCTTTATTAATTCATGTGAAAGTATTGAAATGGGTGTAATTGTAAGTTTTGGTGAAATGTGAATGATAGGGTTGTGATGCATCAATATTGCTGGACTCAACTCCCGAAAACCTGGCTGAGAAAGATGGTCCACCTAATCTCTCTGTTCATTCATTTTATGTTATTGATGAAGCCAAGACCAAGCTTGAGAAAGCTTGCCCACACACTGTTTCTTGTGCTGATATAATCGCCATTGCAGCTAGAGATGTGGTATCATTGGTAAAAAACTGAATTACCTTCAAACTATTTCATAGCTGTTAAATTCTTGCATGGCAATTGTATATAAGAGGCATGTGTTACATATGCTAGTACTGTATCTTAATGCTCTGCATGGTAAAATATTATACATGAGGGGTTTTAAAATTTTCAATCAGAGCAATATTAATATTTTTACACTCCTTAATTTTCACACTCTTTTCAGCAACATTTCTCTTAAAATATGCATCTTAGCCATTCATCATTTCATTAACTATTTCTATTTTTCATGATAAAATTATTTATTCAATAGATGATTAAGTGTAAAGAAAAGGTATAAAAGAATGCAATGTAGTTCTTATGTAATCGTAGGGTATGAGAGAAACATTTTCTTTTCAATTATAAGAATCCAAATTCTTAATTTTTTTTTTTTTTTCAAAACTATCACCAATTATTCTTTAGAATCTTAAACTGCAACTGGTAGTTTATATTTTATATGTCCAGAGATATACTGTTTCCATCTTAATTTTTTCAAATGTATCTAGTGTTTTATAACTTTTTTTTTCATATTTTCTCTAAATGAGAGATAAGAAAAAACATTAAATTAGAATCACAACAAAACTGAGTATTTATAGTTTAATTTGATGATTGATTAGATTATTCAATAGTGTAATTAGTGACATTGTAATCAACTTACAAGATAAGTATTTCAAGACATATTTATGCAGAGTATAATTAGCCAAGATAAACGCAGTAGTATATTACATATTGACTTGTGAACAATGATTCTTCCATGCATGACAACTCTTGTCAATGAAAGTGAAAGGATATATAACTTGTTCTACATTGTAATGATCATTGATCAATATATGAATTGCTCAGTCTGGAGGACCATATTGGAATGTGCTGAAAGGAAGAAAAGATGGAAGGGTGTCCAAGGCATCAGAAACAGTAAACTTGCCTGCTCCAACCTTAAATGTGAACCAACTCATTCAGAGTTTTGCAAAGAGAGGTTTAGGGGTCAAAGACATGGTGACTCTCTCTGGTGGCCACACTCTTGGCTTTTCACACTGTTCTTCTTTCCAAGCTAGAGTTCACAACTTCAGTTTGTTGCATGACATTGACCCAAGTTTGAACACTGAGTTTGCACTAGACCTAAAAAGGAAGTGCCCAAAACCAAACACAAACCCCAGTGCTGGACACTTCCTGGACTCAACATCATCAGTGTTTGACAATGAGTACTATAGACAATTGTTGGTGGGAAAGGGTTTGTTCTCATCAGATCAGTCACTAGTTGGTGATCAAAGAACTAGGTGGATTGTGGAAGCATTTGCCAAAGATCAGGGTTTGTTCTTCCAAGAGTTTGTGGCTTCAATGTTGAAGCTTGGGAATGTGGGGGTCTCTGAAAATGGGGAAGTGAGACTTAATTGCAAGGTTGTGAATTGAGGATGAGAAGGGAGAGAGAGAAATCGATGAATTTAGCATCGATCTTTTGCTTTTTTCCTTCCACCTTCGGTGTTTGAAGAACAATGTCCAATGATGTGTTGTTACTGTGTGTTTAAATAAGAGAAAAATGTTCACTTCTACATCTTTTTCTATACTTCTGGAGTGAAGAATTTAAGTTTTTTAATGGTGAAGAATAAGAGTTGAAATAAATTTCCATTTTACATTAACCAGCATTAAGATGTCCATTTATAAGCAATATTTATTTTACTAAAATATTCTATATTTCTCACAAGTTTTTTCTGTTTTTTTACATTAAATATATATCTATCTATCAACTCAAAGTTGGAGAATAATTTCTCTTAGAATAAAATTTATGGTTGTTTTATTTCTTCTAACAAAATATAACAAAAATTAACGAGATTTTAAGAGTTTTTTAATGACCAATATATAAAAAGATAATTATTTTTAATTTAATTTAATTTTATTATATTCATATCTTTTATTATTTATATTTTATAATTAAATATCATAAAATTATTTCATTAAGTATAAAATAAATACTTTTTTTCTTGATATATATAATTTGATAGCATATCTAACAATATTATAAGTAATAAAATGACATACTCTTATTTTTAAATTGAATATTAGTATCTATTAAAATTTTAATTCATTTTTTAGCCTTATGTTAGGATATGAGATTAGGGTTTAAGTCTATTTTTACCCTTAGTCCAATATAATCATAATCGGAAAAAAAAAAGGATAATTAATAAATCTACATTGATTTTCGACTGTGAAAAAAAAGGACAAAGTAGAGCAAAGGAAAACTGTTTTTCAATGTAAGAAGGGTAGAAAAACAGAGGTGGTAAAGTTCTACTGCATTTCAAAATAAAACAACAATGAAAAAAAAATAGTATATAAATGTTTATTATAAGAAAAGTAGAACATTTTTTATAACCAAACTTTTCGTTATTTAAAAAATATTAGAATCAACAAAGTTGCTAGCTTTAATCTCAATACAATTTTATTTTTCTTCTAAAATCCTCTGTAAATTCTCCCCCCTCTCTCTCACACTCACTCGAACCCAAATAAAATTATTGGTTTATATTTGTATGTATTGGCATTAAGATTTGTGTGTCATTCATGATGTGGCCCTGGAAAATACCTTTAGAGATAACAATTTTGCTGAGCAAGTTGTGATTGAAAGAGAGAATAATTTTTGGCATAACATTGATAGTGGAAATTACACCACGTGGGACACAAACCTTTTGTTTCCTCATTCATATAGCTATCTATCTCACTCAATACAAAACACCCATTTCTGGATTCAAGAGATTGTTTCTTAAGAAAGTTCATTCTTCACCCTCCTTTTCTTTTCCACCCATTTTCCTTGAAGACAAAGAAAACATCATTTGATGGGTACGATATGGTAAGTTTGGTTGCAAGGGAAATTGTGTTGTGCCTCTCCATTAACCAACTACATACCACATCTTCCCCATAATCATCTCTAACCAAAATGGTGTAGGCAAACCCATTCCTTGGAAAGTGTCTAATTTATTTGTCTTTTTATTCAATAAATTGTGCAAACTCTTGAATTATTGGGGTGGAAGGGAACAATTAAGAAGCTAATTGGGAAAAGTTAATGGATAGCAACCCTATTGGACCATGCCACAGAAGAAATCATTAACCTTTTCTCAGTTGTCTTCTAGCAACTTTTAAGGTACAACTTTGCAACTAATTTGCAACATTTGCCTCCCCAAACTACAACAAAAATTCAAAACTATCTCAATCGGTCACTTCAACTTTTACTATGTAATTCAATACACCTTTGTTTGTTTAATATGCATTGCGATATAGTATCAGTTCATTGATATGTATATAATTAATAAATACAAGTTAATAAGATTTTTGATTAATAATATAAAAAAAAAATTAGTTTATAAAGAGAAGCTGGGAAATGAGTAGAAATGCAATGAAAAAGGGTGTTTATTAGAAGGCCCACTTGTCAAAGTGTGTTGCAAGGATTATTTGTTTTAGGTAAGTTGCATGAATAGGGAATGGGAGCCTCTGGCAAAGAGTTTCATTTTCTTTCCCATACTCAATAATGGTTGCTTTTAAGGCTGTAAAATTCAAAGCATGAACTTTTTTTATACATACCCAGACAATACCACCAGACACATACATGCTCTATCAAAATCTTAGTGCCATATAAATGTAATGTGTCCTCTGTTGCTTCCCATGGCTTACCCCATTAGGACCCTACCCAACTTTCATTTAAAGCTCCATAGCCCTAACACACGCTCCTCTTTCCTCTATCTTTCCATGCCTTGTCATCTTCTTATTATCTCTGCATTTCTTCAACCCTACTTACCACTTTCAGCTAGACTTGTCAATTTTTCTCCTCTATCTCATCCCCTCATTGCTAGATACCATTTCTCTCACACCTTCACATTTTCTCGTTCCACTTCACCATTTCAAAATGCAAATTTCAATATAATTTAATTCAACAATTTCACACTACCCTTTCCTGTTAAATTTTAAGTTTATAGTAAAAAAATACAGTTTTTAGTAATTTTTTAGATTTTTCTAGCCCCTATTGACTAGCACCATTTCAAAATTTTAAGTTTTCTTTTCTATTTATATATATTCAATCCTTCAAGATAGATATAACATAGAATATGGAGCAGTGTGTAAGAGGGTCAGGAATAATGTAAGGGGGAATCTGCCAAGTTTTGCGCAAAAACTGAATCTTGTTCTAAAGATGACCTCATGTGCTCATTCAAAATTAATAACCAAAAACAAAACATTATACGATATCGTTCATTTAAATGTTCACATTAGTTAATAATAATTTAAAATCCACAATGCAAATGAGCATAACGGATAAGATGTTCCTTTCAAAATACAAACACCAAGTTTTTTTAATTGAGACATGCATTATTCTGTTCTCAGCTCTCACGTGCCTTCTCCAATGGTTTGAAATTTGTAAAAGTTAACTAACTAACCCATTCATCATTTTAAAACATAGTTAAAAAAAAAATACTCAAATGTTTTTCCCATATCTAGTGAGCGTGCATTAAATACTTAATGCCCCTCCAATGAGATTGAGAATGTTGTTTCCAAAACATGAAAAAACGTTAAAAAATAGAGCATGATGCATGAGATTTCCAAACAAAAAATTGCATAATAACTACATGAATCGTATAGTTTTGATAGAGAATTTGAATAACTGGTTTGTTAATTTGCAGCTCCATAATTATGCAGGCAGATATAGCTGAATTATTGGGACCACTTTTACACAACCCTTCACTTTCGAAAACGACACCACATTTAATTACCAAGCCATGTGAGATGTGTGGAAAACTAGAGTCACACCAAGGATTGAGAATAGAAACATTTGAAACCAAGGCCTTGTGGTCCCTTTAATAACATGATTAAATATTACCATTCCAAAATGTAATAATTTTTCTTACCCTGACAAGAAGTGGGTAATTTTCCCAGTAGTTTCACCTGTCGGAGAAAATGCACACACTTTGTGATAATTATGCTGCTGCCACAGACTTATCTTCATTTTTGTTCCTTTCTACTCCTAATTTAAACACGATGATTATTATCACAAGGTCAATAATTATGCTTGTCTGTACATTGGATTTGGATGTGAAGGTAACTCAAACAAACGCTTGTTTGAAATAATGGTATTATTTTCATGTATTGTATTGTAGACTCGGTATTAGTGTAGGTTTTTGTATAATAATAATAATAATAATAATAATAATAATAATAATAATAATAATAATAATAATAATAATAATAATAATAATAATAATAAAAGTTATTAAAAAGAGAGTACTAAAAAATGAATTGGTCATGTGTTTGGCTATGATGGAGAAAGGGTTAAATGAGCTGGGGGAGAAGGGAATCAGGTGGTCATTTTCTGACATGATTGTCCTCCTCAAATTAATAATAAGTCAAATCTTCCACACTGTTGTGCACCAAATATTTTGGCTCCCCATTAATTTGGTGCTTCATGATTCTCATCTGTTTGCTTGTTCATTTCTTCACAAAAACCTTTCATCAACATTTTATTTCTTGCCTTTCTTATTTACTCACTTTTAGCATGACTTCACCTAATGCTTTGTTTCACGCATAATTTAAGTGGACACAAGCTACACCAAATCATATTTTCTAAATTACATTAAAGAATGAACAGAATCAAAATCTTAAATTTCATTAAGAGGGATATACACAAATGGCTCCTCTACTCTACCTAACTAACTACTCAAATCACATTCTTTTATTATTTCATTTACAAAATAAACCCTAAATTAGCCTCTACTAGTGAATTCAAAAAGTTAAAAAGATATTAGGGTTAGTGCAAGTTAGTTAATATCTGTATTTCTTCTTATTAATATAATACTAATAATATTGAATATTAAACACTACAAGAAAAAGCATTTTAGCGACCGAAAAAATCGGTCGCTAATGGCCAAAAATCGGTCGCTAATCAGTTAGCGACCGAAATTAGCGACCGAAATGGGGTCGTCGCAAAAAGCCTAGTCGCTAATGTGTTAGCGACCGATTTTCATTTCGGTCGCAAAATAGCGACCGATTAGCGACCGATTTAAATCGGTCGCTAAATAGCGACTGATTAAAAATTGGTCGCTAAAAATGTAAAAAAATAAAAATAATTAATTTTGTTATTAATTTAGCGACTGATTAAAAATCGGTCGCTAAATAGCGACTGATTAAAAATCGGTCGCTAAAAATGTAAAAAATAAAAAAATTACTTTTGTTATTAATTTAGCGACCGATTTTTAATCGGTCGCTAAATTAATAACAAAAGTAATTTTTTTTATTTTTTTACATTTTTAATTATATTTATTATTTATTTCCCCCACCTCTTTTTATATTATATTTTTGCTTATTTAAGTTGCTATATATATTTATTTTCCCCAACTCTTACTTATATTATATTTTTTAGAAGTTTAACTTATTAGGTT